TGAATCGTGAATAGGAGATGTGAAGGAGAAGTAAAGGCAAGAGTAATTAGCATTACAAGTTCTAGACAGGGAACTAGAAAAAAGTCAGAACAGGGCAATTTTCAAATGTTCATATGAGAGTCCATTGGAATTTCTTGACAAGTACTTCCAAAAGCATCCCTCTATTGGGTTCTCATTTTTCTTTTGTCTGTCAAAGCTGGACTCTAAAGTGATGGATTCAGGATTTGCTTTCAGGTATTTTGATAGTTGTTGGAGTGGTTAGAATCAGTGTCAGTTCCCTCTCAAGGGCTTCTAGATAGGGGGAGAAAACAAATTTATCCATCATTTTAGAACATTAGCTGATTGTCTCCCTTAGCTACATGTGGACACTACAGTATTGGAGACCAAGATTTGAAGTCTTACATCTGAATAGCACTTTCTGGTTAGGAACAAAATCATCAATGAGAAATAATTGTCTAAATAACTTTTTTTATAGACTTAAGCCTAATGTCTGGGAAGTGTAAGCCCTTGAACTCTTAAAGAAATATACTGATGACTTTACTCATTGGTTATACTTTCCTTTTGGGTGTTTGCTGCTCGAGTTCCCTCTGGGTCTCCTGAACTATCAAGAAAACCATATAACATATCTTTATGTGCATTTATTAACTTACGAAGGAGTGAGTACCCAGTGCCTAGCCCCACACCAAGGCTCAGAGCCCACCATATCAGACTGCACCATGCCCATAGTCACTGCTAGCAATGGCTCACACCTCTGGGGCCAGTGATCTCACCCCAGGTCTATAAGAGTCAGGCCATTCTGTCCTTGAGCTGCTGCGTGGCTGCACATTTCCCACACCACGTGTGCCACCTGTGGCTCGCAGCTTCTGTCCCAAGATGGCGCCCAGCAACCCCTCAGTAGTCCATGCTCTGTGGCAGGCCCTGCCCCTTGGAGGAACTAGCCAATTGGGAGACACTCCACCCCTTTCTTCTTGTATCATGTTGAGATAGTGGCTTCTTGGGCCTCCCCATTAGTTGTCTTTAGGCCATGGCCACTGATCTATCTCACTGGTGTTTCTTCTACTATAAAGACAAATGGAAGGAAGTAGACACATTTAAACAAACATGAATGTAAATATGAATACCTAGAAGATGTCCCAGTAGGTGTACTATATTCATTAAACAGTACACTCATGATGGCTTCTCCTCTAGGGTTTGTAGCCTTTCTCAACACAAGGTGTTGGCCTGGTCTGCAGCACCAGATGTGTGTTCCACCCCTAGGAGCAGGCCTTATCCAATTAGAAATTTGTCAGTTATACGTGTGTTGGCCGAGCCATTATTACACTTGCAGGTATTGCTTGGCATGTCCATAGTGTGCAGCACACGGGGTCCATCTTTCAGTAGAATTATAGGGGATCCTTTCTTCCCCAACCATCTTCATAGTGCCTTCTGGCAATATGAACGTCATCTATCCAGTGGCACCGAGTTTTTTGGCTTAGTCTCAGTTCCATCTCTTCTTTTTCTCCCATGCTCACAACATGCAATGTCCTCAGCAACATGGCCTTACTGACCTTTCTAGTGTACAACCAATATTAATGGCAATAGCTTTGGTGAATTGGCGGACCTCTAGGCTCTCTCTCTGACCAGCAGCTCATGTTTGGTATAGGAGTCCTATCTAGGAAAACACACTCTGCAGTCACTTTAAAAGTGGCCAACTGTGGCCTTCTGTGTGCATCACACTGTTGTATAAGGAAGCTTCACTGTTGAGAGTTGAGGGGTGCGCTAGTTTTCTCTTTACCCCACATTTTGCTATGTTCCATGAGTCTTAGGCATAGAGGTTCTACTGAAGATGTATCACCTAGGACTAAGCATCTCTCAGACATATATTCTCGGTGTCTAACCAGTTGTGGGGTTCTGAATAGCCTCAATCTCATGCAAAAGGAAGCTTCTTTGATGAGTGCTATAGAGTATACTTGTCTGTAAATATAAGGATCCATATTTAGCATAAGGTAAGAAATTTCATTTGCCTAGAGATAAGACAGAGATAGGTTTTCTCTAGGATCTATGTCTTCTCCAGCCATGTGTATTTGGCTGTGTTTACAGTGCTACCTGTGAGTGCACTCCCATTGAGAGGGCTTTAAGTCCAATTAGATAGCTGTTGATTGTCCCCTGGATAACAGTGCCACTACTGGCACAAGTAGAGGTAGTTTGCTCTGCTGGCCATTATGGTTATTAGGTTTTAGGGCTGAGTTGGACCATTGATTGATTTTTCTCCCTTAGCAGCTTGCATAGTAACCTCCAGAAACAGAGGGTTAAACTTTAGGTAGAAGCCTTCCATGTCAGTTCCTGCTCCATTGTTCCAAGCCCTGTGTCCAAAGTATGTCCTGTCTTCAGCAGTAGGATCTTCTATTTCTGGGAGATAATCAAGAGCTCTGGCAATAGTCTGTGTTATTTTGGGAGTCTCTTGGACCACTTTAACCAACCACTCAAAGGGAGGTCTCTCCTGTCTGGCACTTACCATACACTCCCCAGGTGTACATATGGACTAATATTCAGGCACTGTATGTGCATTTCTCAGGGGTTTTCATGGATTGGTAGAATTAATATTGTGAAAATGACCATCTTTCCAAAAGCAATCTCTAGATTCAATGGAATGCCGATCAAAATACCCACAACACTCTTCACAGAGCTAGAAAAAATCATCCTAAAATTCATATGGAAACACAAAAGACCCCAGATATTCAAAGCAATCTTGGATAAAAAGAACGACACTGGGGGATCACCATACCAGATCTCAGGTTATATTACAGAGCTATAGTCATAAAAACAGCATGATACTGGCACAAAAATAGACGTGTAAATCAATAGAACATAATAGAAGACCCAAACCTATGTTTCTATGTGATATCAGCAACCTGATCTTGTCACATTTGCCAAATATCACATAGAGTCTGATTTGTGTCCCAGATTCATCCACTGGACCCACCAAGAGTCCCATCCCTGTAAGGCACTGTCTTTCTCCCTCCCAGAAGCCTTCAACTGTCCAAAGTTCCTTAGGTTGGATTGGGATTTCTTACCCATTTCCCCATGTTTATGCTAGGATTTATGAGCTTGATTAGGACATTTTGCATGCTGTCACCATTGTGGTAAGTTCATATGGGTAAACGATCAACTGTTTGAAAGGCTCTGTTTCCTTATCATCCAGCCCCTCTGCCTCTTACAGACTTTCTATCTCCTCAATAATCCTTGAGCCTTGGGAGACAGAGGTTTGAAATAGGTGTCCTATTCAGGGTTAAGAACTCTGTGGCCTCTTGTTCTCTGCACAGGATCCTTTTGGAAGAGGTGATGTCCCTCTACTAACATGGGAAGATAGACTTAATCATAAGACAGACATTTGGGTTTAATGAACCCAAGCCAAGTAAATAAACTAACTGAAGGAACAATGGTTTTACACTAGGTTTGACCTCAAACCCCCGGTATTTCTTAGAGATATCCCTACCTACTTGAGAGATCCACTTGTTTTTATCATTTCTTCACATATTGTTTCCTCTTTGTTTAAAAACATATAAAGCCACCTAGCTTTAGAGACTTTCTTAGGCTTTTACCCTTTTGTGAAGATCTTGATGTACATAGGTATTTATTAAAATGTGTATGTGTTTCCTCTTGTTAAGCAACCTTGTATTAATTTGTATGCTACATTCAGTCACAGAATCTACACAAAAATTAGGGAACCTCCTCTTTCTACTCAAAATGAACAATTATTATTTATTGTTTAAGTTTTTTAAATTATAAACTACCTCCAAGATAAGACCATATGCTAGTCTCCTATATGATCTTAAAGACTTATAATCTGCCTTTGAATATTTATTCTCCGGATCAATATAGTGTATGAGAAGGAAACACAGAAGGTTATTTAGAAGGACATATACACCTTGACAGAAAGCCAACATTTAAATCCATGAAAAAGGCCAGTGAAGTGACCAAGGCCCCATATGATGGATGGGGAGAATAGATTCCTGTAAGCTGCCCACTGACCTCCACATGTGTACTGTGGTGCACACACACACGCACACACACACACACACACACACACACACACACACACACACACACACACACACACACAATGCAAAACAAATTGTCAAATGTGTGGGAAAAGATGATGGTGTGGACTGTCAAGAACGTGTCGTGTCTGAATTTCCCGTTTCCCTTTTCAGGAACTCATCTCTGCTTTCACTTGTGTTCCGCTTATTCTTCCTTCCTTTGCTCCACGAGGGTTGTTCTATTTATGCTCATGTGTTCTCGCCTCAGCTTTTTTCTTGCACGAAAGTCTTTTCATGGCACCAAGCATTGTGACATGGTTTCTTGGTGCAGCTGGTGAGATTTTGGTGCTTTTTTCCATAGTGCTGCCCTAATGATATTGTTTCTTTTTTCAAGTAGTTGATGACATTTCTAAAACTTGACCTCTGGCCATGCTCTCCTTATTTGCTCTAAGTAATGGCAACCACTAGGTTAGTAGGGTAACTGCTGCCAGGAAATGTAGAAGCAGAATCTGAGGTGTGAGGGTTGTAGCCAGCATTGCAACTATTTAGAGTATCAGTGGTGAACTCGGGATGTTACTTTTTTATAAAGAGTTCTTTGCCTCTGAGCAAAGTGTCATCGATACCTATCACCTTGGGAACCAATGACTTTGGATATAATGATATATTTTATTAAGTCTTCTGTTGATCTCCAAAATGCATAGAACCCATGCAGCCAGAATGCAACCTTTTCTTCAGCATTCTTGGGGAAAGCAGCAATATAAATCAGCTTTTACTCTCATGCACAAGGACTGTACACATCGGCCTAGAAAGCACTGCATTAGAGCTCTACTTCCACCTTCCCAGAAGGAATATCCTGAAATCCCAAGGGCTAGGCACTTGTAAGGCACAAGTAACCCTCAGATAACAGGATGGGTTTCAGGATCTGAGGGCTATGATGGATATCTTTGAGTATATCTTTAATTGTACCAGTTCTGATTCCCCCTCCTACCCTAAGTCTGAGCCTTTCCCAAGTACCTTCCACAGAGCGCCTTTCACATCCTTGTTCCTCAGAGTATAAATTAAGGGATTGAGAATGGGGGTAAGTATAGTATAAAAGACAGCCACGAACTTTCCCTCATTCTCAGAATACCTGTGGATGGGCTGGAGGTATGTATATATGCCTGAGCCGTAAAACAGAGAAACCACAATGAGGTGGGACCCACAAGTCCCAAAAGCCTTTCTGCGTCCAGCCATTGACTTGATTCTCAGAATTGCCCTGGCAATGTGTCCATAGGAACCTAGAATTAGTGTTGCAGGGAAGATCAAGATTATTGTTCGGGCAACAAACATCTTGGCCTCTGTTCCTTCTGTGTCCTCACAGGCTAGCTTCAAGAATATGGGCATCTCGCAGAAGAAGTGATTCAGTTGATGGCTACAGAGGGGCATGGCCATCACAAGTCCTGTCTGAATCACAGAGTTTACAAGGCCAGAAATCCAGGAAGAGATAGCCAGTGTCTGGCACAGCTGAGGATGCATAATGGAGGTGTAGTGGAGTGGACGACACACAGCAGCATAGCGGTCAAAGGCCATCACCCCCAGGAGCAAACACTCTGTGGAGACCAGAGCAAGGAAAATGAGGAGCTGGGCCACACAGCCTCCGTAGCTGATGGTCCTGTCAAACCCACATAGGTTGATCAGAAGCTGGGGCACAGTGCTTGTGGTGTAGCAGAGGTCCAGGAAAGAAAGGTGCGAAAGGAAAAAGTACATGGGAGTGTGCAGTCTCAGATCCAGACGGGAGAGAGCGATGATGGTGGTGTTGCCAAAGAGAGTTAGCAAATAGAAAACTAAAATAAAAAGGAAAAGGAAAACTTCCAGTTGAGGAAAATCCGAGAAGCCCACCAGAATGAAGCCCTTCCCCGAACTGGTATTGAAAATTCCCATAACTTTTCACCTGCACAAATAACAATTTCAAGCTTCCTATGAGCAATATTTTTAAAACGTTATTCCTAATATTACCTGAGTACCCCAGAATCTGGCGTATCAATCTCTATTTACTGCCCAGTTCTATTTCTCCCAGTCTTCTTTCTCTTCTCTTCTTTAACTGGGAAATCACCAGATTAGGCAACGTGGATCTCATTTGGACTCTGGTCCAGCTTCTTGCATGTTCCGACCTCTCAGATTTTATCCAGACCTCTCAAACTTGGGGGAGGATTTCTTTGGTAGCATCAGATATGCTTCATTGTCTAAAGGCAGGGATGCTGAATCATTTCTCTCACAGGACTGAGGTAAGTATCCAAACATGGAGACTTCCTTTAGACTCTGACGTGGCCCTTGGGGTGCGGCTGACTAATGGAGCACTTGACTAGCCTGTGCAATCCCTGGATTCAATTTCCCTCTCTGCCATCCAAAAATCAGACTTAAATGAAGATACACAAAGACAGACACTAGTGTTTCTGTTCTCTTTTTTCCTTCTTCATGTCCTAGTAGGCGGTGTTTCCGAAGAGGAGGACCCAGGCTAACAAGCAGGCATCACAAGCTTGCCCTCTGAGCACTCATTTCTTTCCATGCAGTGGACTGGCCAGTGTATCAGTCCTGGAAACACCGCCCAGGGCCAGCAGCATCTGTTGCAAAGGACTGAGAAAAGTTCAGGATCATCAATTTTGGGGTAATATTTTGCAACTGATTACTTATCATGAATCATTATTTCTCAAATGTGCTGCACATTTGTATCCAACTGGTCGACCTATCCATGACCTTCCCAGGAAGTTATTTTTGTCAAGATAGAAAAATCTGCACCATTTATGTGGTTCTGCACCCATGAGAAGTCTTTTGTGTGTCTCTCCCCGTGAGATCCTGGTGACAGAGGGTGCAGTGAGATTTAAAATATTAATGTCTTCACTTGCAGCATGTAAGAGGTGCCAATTAATATTATTTTCATTTACGGCTTTGTAGTAGCTGTCGAAGTTTTTTGACTCATTGTTTCATTCTCTTGAAAATTCATTTCCACTAAGAACTCTGAGAACTAAACTAAAAACACATTTTAATAAGTTATGGCATTGGAATATGCATAAAAGTTACTTTTCTTTAAGTGTTGATATTTATGTGGTGGAAGTCAAAATAATATATAAGAAAGCTCATCAGAAATCAGGACAAGAAACCAGTAATCAACATGTTTCACCTATGTTCAATATGAAAAATTCTGGGACATTAGCAGGTCTCTCTCATTACTGAGTGTGCTGTTCTGGAAAGTCATCAATGTTCAGTGTTGCACCAGTGTTCATATTTGGGTTCCATGCTTGAAAATGTGAATGATAAACACAAGATGTTAGTGCACAGGGGCAGCTTAACTAGCATACCTAAGATGCATTTAGGATGATCACCTTCATAGATACATCATCTTATAAACTACAGTCAGATCCCTGCACATTATGTCTGTTACTTACCATGTCACCTGTTCCAAAGACTCACTTCTAAGAGTCTCAGATAGCTTACCCATAAAATAGGAAAAACTTTTATTCATAAGATTTTGATGGAGATTTTCTCTGATATGTTCTTAAATGACAAAAAGCCTGGCATACACACACACACACACACACACACACGCACTTTTAAACATTTTCTTTCTATACTAAGATTCTTTGGGTATTATCTAACTGGATCTGCTTAATTTATTCAACATTAATTCCCATAGCTTAGAACAGCTCTCAGAGTATGGAAGGCTCCCAACAAATACTGTTAAATAAATTAATGAATCCATTCTGTACCCTCGTACTGGCACCATGCCTGCTATACATAAATGGCCCAGAAAAACTTGTTTTCTCTTAAACAGGAACTGACTAACCTGTTTGTCCTAAATAGGGTTTAGAAGCATAAGAATTTTTAGCCATCTTTGCTCTGTACTTTTATCACTGTTTATAACAACGTTCAGATATGCTTAATAATTTTAAAATGAATAAGCTCTTAAGAGACTGAGAAAAATGCCAGCATCAAAATCTAAAAGAATTTGAACATAATGAAACATGGAGAAAATTATAGATTGCTTTTCTGTTGCTGTAATAAACATTATGACCAAAAGAACTTGGGGAGGAAAGGATATATGTGGCTTGTAGATTCCAGGTCACAGTCCATCACTAAGGGAAGTCAAGGCAGGATCTCAAGCAGAAACTGAGACAAAAACCATGGAGGAATTCTGCTCTCTCTGTCTCTGTCCCTGCCTCTGTCTCTCTCTGTCTCTTTGTCTCTCTCTCCATCTGTCTCTGTCTGCCCCCCCTTCATTTATCTTTGGCTGGCTCTTGTACATTTCTTTTACAACCCAGGCCTCCCTGACTAGGAATGTACCATCCACAGTGGACTGGGCTGTCCTGTATGAAATAGTAATCAAGAAAATGCCCAACAAACATGCCCACAGGCCAGTCTGATCCAGACAATGCCCCAGTTGAGACTCTGGGCTGTGTCAAGTTGATAGCTGAAGCTGACTAAGAGTGAGACGCAGCCCAATAAATGGCAACCATTGCAGATGAGATGGTGTTGAGTAGGAAAAATTGTACTTAGCCTTAAAACTTCAGCCAATGTGGACATAAAACTGGACAAACGTGGAAAGGGGGAATAAAATTAACATTTTAATAGTCATTTAATAATTTTAAAAGATTACTTCTGGGGGCAAGATAGTGGTTTATAAACTCCCTAAGTGGCTGGGAGTCAGAGAATCTGGATAACAAAGGACAGGCTTTGTTCCAAAGAGAGAAAGAGGAGGAGTGCCAGAAATCATGAAAGGTGACAGGACGGCTGAAAAATCACAGAGAAACAGAAATACTGCATAGTGCAAAGTTCACAAGTGCCTATGGCTCCAGCCCCAACTACAGGTGGGGGAGGGGAGGCTAAAGCCACATTCAGAAGGTAAGCCAGATAGCCCTGCTGAAAACACTCTCAGTCTTGGCCAGAAGGCAAGTCCATAGTTCTCACAAGCTGTACATGCAGTGGAGGGACTTGGCATGGCAGAGACTACTCATGTCTACCAAACCAGCACTGGAGAAGTTCATCTGATCACTGCTCATATCTTAGAGTGCTATAACCAAGTGCCATCCTGAGAAGAGGCCAATTAGAGGTTGAGTTCCTCTGGGGACTTGAAAACAAGGAACAGTTACAAGTCAGAGCCCTGACAATGTCTGGGTCAGCGACAGCAGCAAGGACAATCACGGAAGAGAGGAGGAGTCAGACACGGATACACTGAGACATTTTGACAGCAAGGATTCAGGTTGTAAAGGGTTCTGGTCAGCGGCCTCATCACTGTGGTAAGGCGCATGTCTCTTATGTGAGGATGACTGTGGGGTCTGACACACCTGAATCTGTCAGTAGTGGACCAACCAGTCTCTGGAGCTCCCTCCCTGCTACATGTAGTTTGCTACCAACAGGGCTGAGAACTTTGAGCACAGATCCAGTAGTTCATTTCTGCAGTCTCCTCCCTCTCACAGCATGGTTTGCTGCAGGGCAGGCAAAATGCCAGGTTCCCTTGGCTGTTTGCCTCCTCTGATGCACACTTAGTGCTCTACATGTTTTCCTACACACACTCCAGTGCACTCAAGGGTCTTGACTTGGAAGGTAGCTTCTCTTGGGCATATAAACTGGGACACAGGATCTCTGGAGCAAATGAGGACCTGTCCAGTCCACAGGCCACAAAACTTAGAGTGATCAACATCAGGTTCTTGAACACAAAGAAATAAAACTTCAAAAGCAAACACAACCACAACAGAAAGCTATTTTGATGGCCCAGGCCCAGCACCAGCTTGATGCTAGAAAAGTCAAGAAGCTCCAACTTTGACCTGATCCCTATACCTGGTAGATTCTAAAGGTGAAGGACCCAGAAAGAAGTGCTCCAGTATTTTATCATTTTGTTCTCACTCTGCAATACAGAACCTCACACCACCAACTCACTTCGTGCAACTCCAGCCTCATTCCCTCATTCAGTCTTTCTGTGTAGTTGTCTCGTCCTTCACGTCCCAATTCACTATGGGATTTCGATCTTTTATTCCATTGTCCATCATCAACATCATATTCTTGTTAGTATCATTAATTTATTTTCACTCAGTCCCATGAAGTCTATTCTGGATAAATGTAATCTGTATAGTTTCCCAGACTAAAATTACATCAATAAATGGACTTTTCTTATTCAGGTTTGCAATTGCATAGCATTGAATTATGCCTAGCATAATGGTGACACATGATAGTGCTCAGTATACCCCAGGCACTCACCTGTACACACACATTAACAAGTCCTTAGGAAGGTATAGAAGCGTCCAGTAATTTCAGTCTTGCGTACAGTGTTTGATGTGGGGGTATCATTCTTCCTTGTGATCTGTTCTTTCCCTTGTAATATGTTTAAGGAAAGCGCCTCAATCCTAAGTAACTTCAAAGATCAAGTCTTTCTCCCTTCCTGCTCCATCATCTTGAATTCCTGTGCTTGATGAAGACCTTGACCCCCTACTTTAATGCCTACAGTGAGCCACTTTTAGGGATGTGCCCTGCCTTATAATCCACAGGGTTCTGCTGACAAGAGGGCAATCTACAGAACTAAACATTAACATCCACCTGAAATGTTACATTAAAGCTCTCCCAACACTGAAGGCAGTGACTCTGCGTCAGCACAGCTCACCTCCTTCTTCCTTCACTGTCCTGTGTCTATAACTCATAAATCACTTAATGTTGTCATGTGATCTTCCCAATCCCCCAGAGCTTTCCTTCAAGCATCAGCTGCTGGAGTCTGCCTTATCATGTCCATATCTGGAAATACTAAAAAGAAAATCTCCCACAAGCTCTTTCTACCTTTAAAGAACAAGGTCCTTTATGTGTGAACCCAATGATAGACCTCTGGGAGATCCCACACGTTAGTCCTAATCCCGAATCTCATATCCCAGTAGGCTTTGGCCCTGGTCATACTGGCTCAGGAATTAGGGAGCATAGAGCCTTCCTGTGGAACCTTAGTGCATATGCATGAGTCATTGGAAGGTCTCATCCGAGTACACACAGGTAAGCATAGATCTCTTTCACCTGACACTCCTCCAAATATTGAGGAAACTAATCAGGGCATGTAAGTATCACTAGGTGCCACACTACATGAAAGAAGATGACATTTTGACAATCTCTATTTCCTTTCATAATGCCCATGACTTTCATTAAAAGAATGAAGTGATACTGAGCTGATATAAACTAGTGCTTAATGACCCACATTTCCTTTCCAGCTGTCACTAGGTGTTCACAAATAATTCTTCTACAATTTTGTACTTAAATAAAAGTATTGGACCCAGTCAGCTCCACTGGTCACATGAAATGTTAAATATTATGCAAATTCTTGGCAGTAGACTTGCTTTAACACCTTAACAATTAGATTGACTCAGTATGGCACCAGCAAGCATCCTGAAAAAGAAGCTGGTGTTTGCAACTGAGAGTCAGGTTACAAAAAATACTTAGAGATAAGCATGATAAGTTGCATCCATGTATAAGAATCTTTCATATGGAAAATATGCTGAACTTGCTTTGTTCTTTCTCAAAAGGCTAAAATTTATAACTGAAAGATTTTTACAATGTAACTGACAGAAATTTACAAGAGGACAGATTGTGTCTTAAAACAGAGAAAACATGAAAAATGGACCAGTTTGGAGGCAGGCTGCCTAGGCAGGAAGTAATATTTTTTGTATCTTCAAATCATCCTATTCATTCAGACCATGAAGGGTAAGATTTGTGGATGATGTAAAAATATTCTTGCATTACCCAAATGATTTGGAGGAACGACTAGGAGCATTTCACCCAGCCTTTTTTCATCTTTTTTAAAAAATATAAAATTAACATTAAAAACTTAATCTCTACTCTTAATCCCCTCGGCAAACATAAAATATTTATTTGCTATTTATAATCATCTGTGTTCAACTCTGTGTTCGTTCCTGAGTTGTATCTCTGTCTATGCATGATCCATAAAATAAATATGTTTTGTTTGGTCTTTTGAGACAGTTTCCTTGTAGCCCAAACTGGCTTGGAACTCACTACGTAGAACCAGTTGGCCTTGATCTAACAGCCTCCCTCTGCCTCCCAAGTGCTGGAATTAAAGGTGTGTACCACCACAACCGGCTCAGCCATCTAATAAACTTCTTAATCAGAAAGAATGTTTAAATTTTTTCTGATAACATCTAATACTCCATCCTCCATAACAGTCCAGTAATTTAATGACTTCAGATTTAGTGGAAAAATGTCAGTGAGATACAATTTCATCATATTTGGGCAAAGGAGGAGATTCCATAAATTCCTTTTCTAATCATGTTCCTTGATATACTACATATTTTAAATTTTTAAATCTAATTTCATTTCCTTCTGCTAATCCTTCACGTCTAGCTCTCTCAGTGATTGGGAGAGTAATTCACTATCAAAC